TCGCGTCTAAGATTGACGAGTTCGTACTCGGGGCTCCCTGCCGCCGGCTCGTTATTTCCCCCTTGGGTACTACCAGTCATGTTGACATCTCCCTCAGGCGCCGAGCCTGGGATGTGAACATATTCGCTTGAATTTCCTGACATGGTTCAATCTTATTTGGACGCTGCTGGTTAATCCTCCTTCCACTGGATCCGTGGGTGGTCAAAGTGTTACACGGGGTAAGGGTCTATACTTCTCTATCCTGGTCCGCACTAAGGCAGGTGAGTATTACGTTAGTGTTCCGTGAGGCTTGTCTGGCGATGCAGTGGAGTTGGCGTGCTTAAGGAGGGTTTGACAAGACTAATCTATTTGATAGACTAACTTGTGACAATCTTGTTAAGTAAAGATACTAGTAAGAAAGTACAATTTGAGTTGACCACAACGAATGTAATAATGAAATCCAACCCATTCTTATATCCGTTGCCTTTGGTCCTGCCATCCCTTACTTCCCTGCCATCCCTGGGATGGTTGTGATGTTGGGGATGGCTGCCATCCCAAGGCGTCCTGCCATCCCTCGGATGGTTGCCCTTGGCGGGATGGCACATCACGTGACCTAGCCCCGCGATGATCATTACCTTCTGACGTGGACGTCCATAGGCCTTCAGCCATCTCGTCATTTGTCAAGGAGAGAATCCTTCTTGTTACTTGTAACAGAGCGCCGCCTGTAGAAGTACGTGCAGAAGCTCGCGAGTGTAGCGTAGATATCCCTTATAAAGTAGACGCTTCTTTAAGATTAAAACGAATTCTTAACTAAGGTTAATAAGGAGGCTTAAGTTCGGCGATCGACTAGGTCTATTATCTTAGGGAAGGCGAAGGTAATGAGCTTTAAGAACCTTAAAGAGGCACGAGCTAAGCGTTTTGAGAAAGAGGAGAAAGCGTTAGCTGCTAAGGTTCCTAAGAAACAAGGGCGTAAGCCTAAGAGCTCTGCTAAAGTACCGGCAAAAGAAGTGGCAAAAGTAGCAGGTGCGAATCTGCAAGGAGAAGGTGAAGAGGCTGACGCTCTAGTGCGAGCTGACAACATGCCTGGGCTTTGTTAGCCAGAGACAGAACTATCATAGATAGCACCTGTTGCAAAAATGTATTGATGTATTGGTACGGAGTTTAGGTCTTTGCTATTATATATATAATTTATTTACGCCTAGTAGCTGAGCCGAAAGGGCTACTAACGCTAGTCTAACTTTACACTTTCTATGCTACATCTTGGTCTTCTTAGCCTATCTATCTTCTTTGACTTGCTTCTTTGTATAGCTTATAGTCTATGTTAGAGCCCTTACTTGATATTGCGGTACACTTCTTCTCTAGCTATAATTATTCTTTATTAGGTGCTTATGAGTTAGTATTGCTAGTGGCAGACTGGCTTAGAGTTAGTATCTCTGTGAGATTCTCTAAGTGTTCAGCATCTTATCTTTAGTAGCTGAAGTACTGTCTGCTGTCTATTGTATAAAGCTGCTAATAAGTTTATATTAGTAGCTAAGGTCTATCTAGTGGTTAGTTAAATGCTAGTTTACGTTAAGTCTCTATATTGCTATTGTGAATTGTATTGTAGCTTGCACTATGTCTATGTCTAGCGCCTATTTTGCGTTGTCTGTTGCTGCTTTGCCGCCTAGATAGAATAATATGTTTCCTCTGCTTATCTGCGTGTACTGTAGCATTTCTATCTGCTGTATTATCCATTTCCGGCACCAGAATAGAAAGTATTCTACTGTCTCTGCTACCTGTCCGCATTCGTATTAGTCTGTTACTAATACTTTAATTTAGTATATATTAATATATGTTTAGCTATACTATGCATGTTCTAAGCTAGGCAAGCATACTACTCTCTTTCTGCAAAAGCCTGTTGTAGAGTTGCCGCATATACTTTCCTAGCAGTGCTATATTAATTTATTTAGAGTATGCTTCTATGTCTGCTAGCACCTTCTTAGCTATACCTTGCTTACATGCAATATTGTGCGTAGTTGATCGCATTCTAGGAAGCTGTGTCTGTGGCCTAGCTATTAATCTAGTTACTATCTTTGCCTCTTGCTCAGCGAGGCTTGTGAGCTCATAGTCTTCGCTTGCTGGTAGCTATAGCACTGTTACTGTGTTGCTGTCTCTTCTTAGTGTCTGTACAGTCCTGTAGAACTCACTAATATAGCTTTGCTTAGACTACTGCTGCGGTCTTCTAAGTGTAAGTACAGCAGCCTTGTTTCTTGTTATAAGTGCAATGCTGCGAAACCTCAGCTTTAATAGCCTGCCTAGCGCCTCAGCCATTGCTGCCAGCTCTGCTGTATAAGGATTTTGTTCCTCTTTTTGCCTAGTGTAATGGAGAAAGATTGCGTCTTGTTGCACTGTACGCTAATCGCGCCTCCCATTCCGACTACTCCGTTCTGCGCTGAGCTGCTTACCGCAATGCGTACCGCCCAGTTCATTTCTATCTCCTGTGCCGCGTTCTCAACTACGGTCTGCACTCTCTTCTCCCATGGTGCCAGGACGCCCAGTTGGATCATCTCCATCTGCTCCATCTCTATATCCTTGAGCGCTTCTGCCACCTGAAACAGAGGCGAGCAGTACTGTCTTCTCTTTGCTATTACAGTGCTTAGCGAATGCGGCTTCCCCTCCGACGCAGTTGCAGCAGCATTTGCGCCACACAGCAGACAAGGATTGCGCAACCCCACTTGACTCATTGAGCTTAGCGTCAGCCAGTGCAGTAAGTAGCCAATGCAGAGCGTTAGCAAGATGCTCAGCAGAACATAAGCTTTACTCGCAAGATAGAGTGCCCACAGTAAATGAGTAACGACAGCAACAAGGAATGCGCACAGCCATCTTAGAAGTTCGGCATCATGCAAGCCGTACTAACGAAACTGGCTTCACCTACAATGAACGCAGCTGCAACACAATTCTACCACACCTCTAGAAGCCTCTTCTACTGTGCTAACCCTGTCCAAACTTCCGCGCAGAGAGCTGCGTCTTATACAAGACAACTTCTGGGCCTAGCGCAAGCCAACTGTTATCGTTTACTATGCACGTCTCGAGAACCATCTCTAAGTCGGTCGAATCTTGGCGACGGCAACAAGCTTTGAGCGTAGAGAACTGTCACTAGACACAGCCGCGCGAGTTCTCTGGAGCTGCAGTAATACGCCTAAGGAATTCTATCCCGTGCATACTCAGCTAGGGCTATGATGCCAATACGCATAGCGGGTCGTGGGTGAGCTGCCAGTACCTGTTCGACCATGCGCGAACGCTAGTGTCGGACCTGTGCCTGGAGAGGCAGATCATAGAGGTGTGTAACGTTAGTAGTTAGATGAGCTAGACACTAGACAAGAGATAATTCGTGGGAGACAAGTAAGCGGCTGACCATCTTCGTGGCGCACAGTCTAGGCTGCATTATTGTTGTCGGTGTTCATGGCAGCGGACGACCGTCTGCTGCAGCACCCGGAGCGGGACTCGGAGTGATTGCAGCAGCAGCTAGCTGGTACGAGCCGATCAGCAATGCCTTTGTGACTAAGCTCGCGTTTGAGGAGTATGCAACGCCGACGGTGCTCGGTCAACCAATGGTGGTCGTTGCTGAGGTAGCCAAGGTACAACGATTCCCTACTGACACGCGACAGGTCATTCCTGAGGTATCTGCTGTAGCACTGGGTACCGCGAACGACGAGCCGGTCGTGATACATGCAGACCGCATCAACATGGTCGAGTTTGGACCAAGGTCGAGGATATAGCGTCCGCAGATACAGACGCGCTGCATTACTAATTCACACAACAGCGACTGCTCGGCACGCAATCAGGTCTTAGGTTAATATAGCTGCTACATTGGCTGGGCAGGATGATAACATAAATACAATAGATGCAATCTACAATCTAGATAATCTCTATACGGAGCAAGGCAAGCTTAATAAGGCAAAAGAAGTTTACGTGCTGGCGCTTAAGGGGTATAAGAAGCTCTTTTGTTACAACCATCAGTGTTGTTACCGTATTGGTTGTGCTCTTTCCAAGTTGAGAAATCATGGTGGGACTGAGGAGATAGATCGAGAACTGATGCCTTTATCCCGGTCAGCTTTGCAGAATATTAACCGCAATGTTCTAGCTGTACTAGGAAGCTTACGCTTCTTGCTGTTAGACTTGCCTGACTATTGGAGTCTGTCATGCTCTATGTCGCCCAGTTCTTGCTTATATTTATGTTCGATGCATAACAGCATCTGAACACTCCCGGCGCATCGCTAATTGGAGATAGTCATGCTTCCTCGCCTATAACGGGCTCTGAGGTTGTGCCTTTCACCAGTTAGCTGATACCGGAAGAGATAAGTCGCTTATTACGTGATCTTACACAGCTGACAATAGGAAGACGCAACTCTAGCTTCCACCCTCCGCTCCATGAATATCTGATATGCAACGCGGCCATGAGGGGACGGATTGTCAGCTATGGGAGGGACACCAAGTTCACACGTTATATCTATACTATTAGTGTTGAGGAAAGGTGGGGTGGGTAAATGAGCCTACGACTTCGAGACAAACTTACTAGGCCGTTGGTTAGAACTGCCATGACGACGATACAGTTTCCAGATGATAGCAAGTGTTGGTGGACATGCAACGAAGAGAGCGACAATAGCTACAATAGCTTCAACGGTCAACGCCATCTTGGCACTTCGCTCAGTCGGTTGTATGGGCGCTGGCAGTTTGGCGGCCGACGACATTTATCATTTTCGAAAATGAACGATTAACATCCGCACGGAGCCATTAGCCTGAACTATGGAGGTCGACTGCGCACAGATTTTGGCAATCACCAATGCGACAATATCTAAATGCAATGAAAAAAGAAGACCTGAGTAGGCTGCAGGGAGATTCTGGGGGCAGCGAATAGGAGAGCGGCGCAACCGTAGGGGCTGTGCAATTGCAAGTGATTTCAGGCTGACTGACTGATACAGAAAGATTTTGGGTTTAGCAAATAGGAGAGCGACACCACCGCAACGGCTGTGCAAATGCAAGGGTATCTAAGACTAGTAATGCCAGAAGCTTTAGGCACGGCCGGCCATTGGAAGGGACTGAGCCACATCATCATTTAGCGTGGGAAACCAAGAAAGATTCTGGCAATAACCAATCATGTCATAGTACAAATACAGCCTCTCTCAGCACTCTAACGATCGCTCCTGACCGGACACAGACATAAATCAATCGCCCTCGCCTGCGATGTACCTAGACAACCCAAGTCTGTAACTGCTCCTCGCTCATCTTCCTATTTTTGTGCTGCGCATCATCCATCATGTCTATCGAGCTCACTGAACATGACTGGGATTCGCACAAGGCTATCATCCATTCCCTGTACCTTACCGAAAATAGAAAGCTTCAAGGAGCTGGCAGTGTCATGCAAGAAATGCTTTGCAAGTACGATTTCAAGGCTACGTAGGACCCTCCATGGAATTCTCCTCTCTCAACGACCGCTAATAGTTCCCCTAAGGAAGGCCCAGTTCGAGCGACACTTCAGGCAGTGGGGGTTTCAAAAAAAGAAGAAGAAGGATAAATGAGAAGCTACTGCATCCCGCGTTGCTAAAAGAAAACGAGGTCAAAAAGAAACTGAGGTGTGGGACGGCCATGACCGTATCCCCGAGAAGAATTTGAAGAAGGAGCTTGCACGATACGGCTACGACGTAGCATTTCCGTATGGATGCCAGGGTATCTACCTACTCAAAGATGCTATATTAGTTGGTACTTAAAGCTCACACCTTCGCAGCGCCGACTCCGAAAACGCCCGAAGGCCTCTATATCTGCACCCCTGCAGCCCTACAAGATGACACAACATTGCTTTATGATCTTCCCTGGTTCCAATTCCTGGACACTATTGAGTCGAGAAGTCCGTACAATCGTACTCTTCATTCTTCCGAATTGAGCTAATACTCTTCTAGTCAGCCCTTACCCAGACCTAGCCGCTGTTGCTATTAGCATGGTCAACAAGTCTATTAGCAATCCTTCCCAATCAAAGCCACAAGACCTCGGAACCGTAGGATACATGTCCCTCATACCAGATACGGTTATCTCGGCTCTATCAAAGTGCGTCACCACAGGAATTACTCCAACTCTATCAAATACCGTCCGGCGCATCCATAGTCATCTACGTGCTATAATACCAGAAGAATTCGAGAGAGAATCAAACGCAGGTCACAAAGATACGAGTGGACTTATCAAAATGACTGGAAACGTCCAACATCTCAGCCTTGCGGTATTTCTACTGACCAACAATATGTTGAACACCGAGAAAGTTGCTGTAATGACCCAACTCTTCCAAGACACCAGTAATGTGCAGTTTCTGAGATCTCTGCTATCAGTACGGAATCCAACGGTCGAGGCACTTGCAGAGAAGCTTCTCCTGGCTGCTATACAGTCTGAACATCAGTTTATGGCACAGACGTGCCTTGAAGCAGGAGCAGACCCTAACTCACAGCTATTGGGGCGAACCGCTTTGCAGTATGTTGCAGGGAAAGCCAATATTAAGATCACCCGGAGTCTTCTCGATGCTGGTGCAGATGTCAACGCACCGCCAGCGGATAATGGACGGACCGCGCTCCAAGCAGCAGCTTCCAGCGGCAACCTCGAGCTAGTTCAGGTCCTTCTCAATGCTGGTGCAGATGTCAACGCACCGCCAGCGGATAATGA